TTTCTTCTCAAACAAACTCTCTCTCAAATTGAGAGAGAGTTTGTTTGAGAAGAAAGGAAAGGGGGAGAGGCAGGGAGGGCAGCTTGTTTGAGAAGAGAGGGGCAGCCCGCCAGCAGAGGCGGGTCTTTTACCCACCTCTGCTGGCGGGCTGGTGCTTTCTTTCTTTTGCCAGGCCCAGCCCGCTGGAGCTCGCCACGCCGGGGGAGGAATGGGTTGGGTGGGCCGGCTGACTGGGGAGGGGGGATCATGGCCGCTCAGATGGCCCCCACCGCTGCCACCATAGAATTAGTAAAACTGATCAGTTATTACATTCAATCAACTTATATATTTCTGATAATAATACATATTTAGATTATAGTCTATCATTATTTAATTATTCCATATTCTAATATATTGCTCTCATGCCACTCACCATATTATTTAATCGTACATAATAATACCACCATTCAAATTCTAAGCTTTCCTCTTGTTATTGCTTTCATTTTATTATATAAAAATGTATACACTAATATTCCCCCTTTCTCTTACTTCTATCTCTATTCTAACTTTTAATCATGTCACCCTATTATTAAAAGACATTTTCTTTCTATCCTACCTAACTTCTAATCATGCCACCATTCTAAAAAAAAGGGGGAAAGAAAGAGAAGAAGAAAAGAAAATCAGAACAACAACAAAAAAGACAAATTCTTTCTGTCCATCATCTCTTGCCCATTTCAATACTTTGGTTGCTATGCTTTTTTTTTACTTGCCTCCCATATTCCTCTCTTGGATCTTTATCTCTGTCTGCATCTACTTCTAAGCTATTCAATCTAAGTATTTCTCCCATCTCTACCCTCTTCCACTGCCTAACTTCCAAAATATCTGCCCAGGCCCCTATCTCTCTTTCAAAAGTATCTTCCTATATCTCCAATTATCTTTTCAACAATCTTAAAATATTTTCCCCCTGATTTAATTCATCAATCACTATTATTTTTATTATTATCTCCTCCTTGTCTTCTTCTTCTGTTTACTGGTTCTTCAGTTCTTGACCTCCATTTCTTCTATTAGGTCCTCCCTTTTCTGGGCGTCTTGCTCATTATCCCATGCATAGTATTTTCCATTTTTCCATACTTCCTTAAATCCTTTCTCTATGATGTCCTTTGTGCTTTGGAAAATCAATGCCATCTCCTTCAAAGTTCCATTCATTTCTTCCTTATAAATTATTTTGTTTTAAAAATCCTACTTTTGTCCAGTAGTACAAGAACCATTTATTCAAACCTAAAGTTGCCCTTCAAGAAGTACACTCATCACAGTTCTTTGTATCCCATTGGTAATCAATCAGTTCCATTTAGATAGTCCCAGAACTTATCAAAAGTCTCTTTACATCCCCTTTACAGCTTCAATCTTCAGGGGTCACGTTAATTAAATAACTTCCTTGTTCTCATATTTGAGTCTCAAGTAGTCATGTGATAGTTAGATATAATCCAATAAATATTTTCATAATCCAAGGGTGTGTGGCCTGAATCTCAGCAACAGGACATGTTATCCAAGGGGGGGGGGTGCTCTCCAAAGAACCATCAGATTCCCTGCTGTTTGAGGGGATGTTTAAATAAAGCTGCCTTGGGGGAGCAGTGAAGAGGGGAAGCACAGGTGGGTGTGGTTGGGGAAACCCACAATTCCCCTAATACATCTGCAATTTGTTTCCGAACCCAAAGCAGGGAAGGCAACCATTATGAGCTTCCACGCTGAACAGTTTGGAAAAGCAGTGAAGTGTTTGTCTGGATGAGATAACAAGATTGCTTGAAAGTACAACATTCCTGTAATTAACCTTAACTTCTGGTTTAAAAAAGTTTTTTAAAGAAAGAGTGGCAGGAGAAAGTAGGGGGAACAGGTGTTAGAAAGCTCTTCCTCCCATGGACCAGCAGCGAACAGAAAGATGAAGCCATTAGTAAGACAAAAAGAACGATAGAGCTTGAGAACTGTTTAACTGTTTAACGGCTAGAAAGCAAATTGGAATTCTGACTTTTACCTTGCGTTTTGTTTTTCTAGTAACTTTTGGCAATCTCTTTGATTTGCTTTCGATTTGCTGTGAATTTAAATATTTAAATTTAAAGAATAAATATGATGAATTATTTGTTTGCATTGCCATCTAGTGGTAAATAAAAGTTGGCTGAACAGAAAAAAAAGATGTTGTTTTACATTCTACATTCTTTTTAATTGGTACTAAGGAAAGATATTAGTGGATATCTTTCCTTAGTACCAAGGAAAGATATCCACTGTCCAGTCAACTCATAATAGTAGTGGAAAGAACTTTATAACCATTAATTTTATTTCTAAAACAAGATTGCCAATCTGCCTTACATAAAAGAGCTTTCATAGAATCTCAAAGAAGTCAAATAACTATTTTTATAGTTACAGAAACATTTCCAAAAATTTCTTTAAAATATATTTCAACAGTAAAGTAACTTGTACATGTTTATTTCTGAAACATTTTAAATATTTTTATTATAATGTGTTATTTTAATACTAAGTTTTACAATACTAGAATGTAAATGTGGGATAGGCAGCATCACTACCAGATGGAATTGTAACTGGATGACAAACTGTATTCACTAGTGCTTAATGATACTACATCTACATGGAAGGACGGATGCAGTGGGGTACCAAAAGGTTCCATCTTAGGCCCAGTACTCTTCAATATCTTCATAAATGACTTAGATGAAGGAATAGAGGTCTTATTTTGGGGGGAGGGCTTATTTTCAGGGAAACAGGGTAGCTAGACTCTGAATTCTTGTTTCTTAAGATCATGCATAAAAAAGAGTAAAAAATAAACTTTGACATGTCACATTTAGTTCCATTATACTGACATTTTCAGAGATTACAGGAAGTAAACTCTAAGATGCAAGACATTTATGTTTTTTTTAATGACATGTCAGGTATTTTTTTATTCAGGCAAAACATAAGAGGCAAAGCAAAGGATAAAAAAGAAGTATCCACTTTGAATTGTGGAAGTAAGAAAATGGCCAATTACTCTTTTTATAAGAAAATACTTGCAGATGCTGGTCAGGAAAGACAGATTGTATTTTCTAAGCAGAATTTCTTCTAATTGGAGAAATTGGTGGTGGCAGAATCAGAGGAGGGGAGAAACACAGCAGCAGAATCCATGGAGGGGAGATCATAGCAGCAGAGACAAGCGGCACAGCAGAAGAGGTGCATGGAGTTAGAGAGATCTGATCTTTAAAGCTGAGTGGCGGGCTGAGTGGAGCAGACTAGACAGAGGAGCTGAGTTGACTGGAAAGTTAAACAGCAGGCCAAGAGAGCTGACCAGAGTAGAGACGAGGCTGAAAAGACCCGAGCACTGAAAGGCAGAACTGAACTGGCAGAGAAAATGACAAGAGGCCGGAGATGTGAACAACAGAAGTGAATGCAACAAACTAAGCTTGAGGTTCCAATAGTCAGGGAGGGAAGACCCCAGTAGAGAATAAAAATAAATACAGGACAGAAAATAAAAGACAAATAAATATACAAATAATGACAAGAGTGGAAAATAAGAAATCAAGGAAGAATAGTATCAATCAAATAAAGAAGGCAAATCTTAAATAATAAGGTAGGCTCAAAAACTTTTTAAAAATATAGGGAAGAAAATAATAAATAAAAATAACATAATAGTAAGCAAGTTACATAAATAACAAGATAGAAAAATAAGCACGTAGAGAAAAAGTATAGAAAAAATAGAGATAATTACCTAAAACAGAGAAGCTAGAAATAAGGCTAAGAGCAAAACACATCTACCAACCAAAAAAGGGATTTTCAAATTCTAAATTTTTAAACCTTAAACCTTTTAAACTTTGAAAACTTTAAATGAACTATTACATTTTTAAACAATTAACTTATATTTTTCTTCTGGAAAACTGTGGCAAAATCTTTTACATCCTTAAATAAACAACCAAAATGAAACATTTTAAAACCATTTTTATCTTTTTCTTCAAACATATATTGAAATAAAATCTCATACTTTTACATATTTTTTTACCCTAAAAAGAACCAGCAAAAAGAAACAAACTCATTGAACAGGTGACTGATTCTTTTTTGGTATGCAATATATGTTCCATGTATGTACTAATGCCCAAAGAACATCCACATTATACATGTATTACCATATTTTTTGGACTATAAGATGCACCTTTCCCCCACTAAAAGAGCATATAAATGTTGGTGTGTCTTATATACTGAATACAGCCATTTTGGGCCTCCTGAAGCCCTGCCCCTGCACCCCATTTTTGCAAAACAAATGGGTGAAAAACGGACTGATTTTTGCAAATACTGAGGCGTTTTTGCCTTCCTTCAGGCCTAGGAACACAAGTAGTGTTCTCATCAGTACTCCCAACGAAAGTCCAACACCCATTGAGGGGAAAAAGAATTCTAGAAATAAATCACTGGCTAAAGGTTTGGTGTCGCCAATAAAACTTTTGTTTCCTAGACCATGGATAGCATTACCCACAAGAAGGACTCTTGGCAAGGGATGGACTGCACCTCACGAAAACAGGGGGAAATGTACTAGGAAAAAGATTGGCCCAACTCATCAGAAGAGCTTTAAACTAAAATTGAGGGGGAAGGGTGACCAATCTTTAGAATCTCTAGAACACAAAACCGACCATAAATCCCAAGAAAACAAATCAAACCAGTAGGAAGTGATGAGGAAAAAAGAAAAACTCAAACAACAATTAGGAGATGCAGGAATCATAGCCATGGACAGGCATAAAAGTCTTAAATGCTTACTGTATATACTCGAGTATA